CCACCTCAATTTTTCTGTTCCATTTCATTCAGGACATGCCAAAGGTTGACAAAAGATGCCTTTTCAAGATTGCCAGTTCTCTATTGCTGATGATATAAGCAGGTAAAATAAACAACTTATTCTTCCTAGTTCCTCCAATAACGTTTCAGCTAAAGTTTTAATATGGACAATAGTTATATGTCAACCTATCGACATGCACCATTCAGGAGTCAACAAAACAAAATAGTTCATATGACACATGTCACATGTGATTATGGAAATTTATTTTTTCTTCTCAACTCTACTCTCTGTCCCTTGATTTGTATAACGCAGCCTTACTATCGATGACCTAAATATTAGAAGGATCTGCTCAGGTGCAATCTTGAATCGTGTGAAAATAGATCCTCCAAATGGCATATATGAAAGCTAAACAACTGAGTTTTTTCTTTCAACAGGCCCCAGATATTCAAGATAGCAACAACTACATGGGTATTAAACTACCGAGCCACACTTTAAAAGTTTGGGAGAGGGTAATAGAGATGAAGATGAGGATGAGGAGGGGTGTGTCTATTTCTAACTAACAACTAACGCAACCATTCAACTTCTTCTAAGGAGATCGTCAGAGCAATATACAGATACGAAAAGACATTTGCATATGGTGTTCATAGACTTAGAAAAAGCATATGACAAGGTACCTAGGGAGATTTTATGGAGATGCTTCGAGTCTGGAAGTGTAATTGTGGCATATAGTAGAGCGATTAAAGACATGTACGATGGATCCAAAATTTGAGTAAGAATAATGGAAGGAGACTCGGACACATCCCAAAAGTTGCATCGTGGATCAACTCTTAGCCCGTTTTTATTGGCCTTGGTGATAGATCAATTGACACAGCACATTCAAGGGGAGGTACTATGGTGCACGTTATTTGCAAATTACATAGTATTGATTGAAGAGAAACGTGGCAAAGTTAACGATAGACTGGAGGTTTGGAGACGAACCCTAGAGTTTAAAAGTTTTAGGTTGAGCAAGATTAAGACAGAGTATATAGAGTGTGAGGTCAGTGGCCCATCACATGAGGCAGATGTGGAAGTTAGATTGATACACAGTATCTTGGGTCAATAATACAAGGAAATGGGAAGATCAACGATTAGAGCTGAGTGAATGACATGAAGGCTTACATTTGGTGTCCTATGTGATAAGAATGCGCCACTAAGATCTAAAAATAAGTTATATAGAGTGGATGCTGCTCCAACTATGTCGTAGGGGGAAAGTATTGGACAGTCAAGAATTCACACGTTGAGAAGATAAATGTGGTGGAGATGGAGATGCTTAGGTGGATGTGTGGGCACACAATGAGAGATAAAATTAGGAATGAATATATAAGAGGCAAGGTGGAAGTGGCTCTAGTTGTGGACAACATTAGGGAAGCGAAACTGAGATGATTCAAGCATGCAAAGAGGAGCACAGATGCCCCAGTGAGGAGGTGCAAGAATAGGTTTAAGGCGAGGTAAAGTAGACAGAGTTGAATTTTGGAGAGGTGATTAGACATGAACCATAGGGGACAGGCTTTCATAAAGCACCTTTGGGCAGCAACTACTATTGGAAACCGATTTCGAGATCAATTTGACAACGTAACTCTTTAAGCGATGATCTTATCTATGTCAAATCTCTTGATACGATACAAAAGACAAACATCTTACAATTTTCATGATCAATTGGATCCTGCCATAAAAGTAGGTACCAAAGAAGATCACTATGATAGTTATTGTAGTCATATTGAAGAGATGCGACAAAGTAATAAGATCATCACAGAACCTGTAGGTGGCTTTATTCTTTTGTGATGGAAATGCACTCTTCGCCCCAACTTCTCAAAATAGGGCCCAGCTTGCTTCCACACATGATACATTTTTAGCTCACTGAGGACATGACTCTAAATAGGAAAACATGGAGGTCAAAAATTAGGGTAGAGGTTTAGCAGGTAGTAGAGCGATCTCTCTCTTTCTGTGGGAAAGCATGGTTCTAGCTTAGAGCATCTTGTCTGCTCCCTCTTCTACTTATCAGTATCTTTATTATTTCTTATGCTTCGATTGTATTACTATTGGTGTTTCCTTAACTTGGGTTATTTTTATTATTTTGTTGTCACTACTTCTCTTTCTACCATATTTCCATTATATCTTTTGTTCTGGTATTTGCCAAACCTTTTTTGTGAAAAAACTTCTCTTGAGCCGATGATCAATCAGAAACAACCATTCTACCTTCCTCAAGGTTAGAACTACTCATATGCAGAAAATTGGTATCATAAAATTCCATTCCTTCCCACACATCCATGTGAAGCAAAAAATTAACTCTAAACAATTTTAATTTGAAGCAAATGGGGTACCAGGGACAAGAACATACCCTAGATAATCTATTTCTATAGGGCATAGAGAGAAATAACCATAGATTAAGTTGATAAAAAATCTCACCAATTCCAATAAGCAACGCCAAGAACCACTTAACCAAAACAACATATCCCATATAAAGCTTTCCTCTTTTAGCCTGTCCATATAAAACACACATCAAACACAACTTCAGCTATCTTATTTTCCAAATGTAAAACAATTAGCCTCTTCTTTTTTTTCTCTCCTTTTTTCTTTTTCCATTTACAATACTAGTATAAACTATAAAAACAAGTATATTTAGAACAATAACTGAGCATTTCTGTAAGTTTCCATTCAGATAGTACCAGATTTTCCTAATATAGAACTAGCACTTTTTTTGAATAAGCAACATAAAGCTGTTATCTTTTTTGTTGAAACTGAACAGAGAAAAAGACTAGAGCTTTAGAAAAGACACACCTGCTCTTCCCTATAAGCAAAATTTTCAACAACTTCATAATCAAGACTTTCCACAGTGCTCCCATTACCCTTTCTTGATGGACCCACCTCACCGACTTCCTCCTCCTCTGTCGCCGGAATCCGTGACCACATCAGCTTCGCCGTCTCCACCCCGTTCTGAAAATGATCTGATAACATCTTCAACCTCCCTGATACACTATATATAGGTCTTATGAACCCCCAAAACCTCAAAAATTCGAACCCCTCGTCGAATAACCCCAAAATTAGAGGCGAGTTTTGAGAAAATTGGGATCAAGATTGGTTTTTTTTTTTTGGGTTTTTGGGTGTGAATGTCACTTATGGGTGATGAGAAATTCCTTTTCTTCTTCGAGAATAATGGAGGAAAGTGACGGATGCGTAAAGGAGTAAACTTAGATTCGTCAAATTGATGTATTTTTCCCTGTGGATTCTGCCAGTCCGGTGAGTCCACCAGAAGTTTACTCTCTCTGTTTTTGGGGTAAAAAATTATATTTTGGGGGAGATGGGTGTTTTTTTTTTAACAAAATCAAAATTATGAAAAAAAAAATATTGTTGTATTTATGTTAATTTAAATTTGAATATTTTAATTTTCAAATCATACTTCATTTTGCAAATTGCAATGATAATGGAGTTTGTTATAATAACAGTAGTTTATCTAATTATAAGTTAAAATAATAGTTTCAGTGAACACAAAGATGATGAAAAAAGTATAAAAATAAGTGAATAAAATTGAAAACATAGAACAACTTAAAACATAATATATATCTTAATTTTTGCATAAATTAGATCCTGCACTACTATTTCTTTTATAATAACTATTTATCAACAAAAAAGACTTATTTTAGTGGACATATCATATATGAGCCACATAATTATTGTTGGAAAAGATAACTTTTATAAGAGTGAATTCAATTAATCATGCACTACGATTCTTTTTGTAACTGTAAAAGTAGTGCTTTTATATTTAGGATGCTATCCAAAAAGGTCATTGAATATATTTTTTTAATAATTTTGATTTTTTAGACATTTTTGGTCACTATTAAATACAAAATAGAATTATTTATGAAAATCGTAAAGAAAAGGGATAATAACATGAGATTTTTCAACATTTTGAATTTGGTATTTCAACTTTTAAGTGCAATTTTTGTTGTTTTTGTGTGGCTTTTAGTGTTATATTTTTGAGATTTAATGAAACTTTTTTGGTAAATATTAAATATTTGACAGAAATAAAAAGTATTCACTTTGATAAATGTAGAGGACTGAATTGCTCAGAAGCATATTTTAGATGATGATTTTGAATATACCTCAAACATAATGGACCAGTTCAATCACTTTCTTGATCACATCATTTTGCTATCCTTTTATTTTTTGATAAGGTTAATAATAGAAGAGGAAATGTTAGATCACAGCATAGAAAAAAAAAGTATAATAATGTTTTTCCTTTTAATACTTTTATATTTTTTTTTTCGATATAAAAAAATATATATAAAAATAGAAGTGTATTTGTAATTCTTTAAAATCACGAAGAAAATCGTAAAAATCATGTCATGGCAAAAACTTCATTTGCTACCGGAGATCCGCATTTCATACCTTTCTAATACTTAGCCACAATTTAAAGGAGAGTTGATATTTGCTTATTTTTCCTCTCTCTCCTCAAATTTCAGAATAATATGTTTTGAAAATCAATTTTTTAGTTCAAAACTTAATAATAATATTTATTGAAATTTTGTTTCTTATTTTAGAACTTCAGGATATTGTTTCCTAAAGTTCATTTTTTGGGTAAAAAACTTCAAAAATAATGTCCTAAAATTTAATTTTTTAGTTTGAAATTTTAATATAGTTGCTTAATATTGACGACTTCAAAGACAAATGTGAGTGAAAGTTCTGGAGAATTTTCTAAGTATTACTCAATGTTAGAATTGGACTATAGAACTATGTTGAATTTTATTAGTATAAGTTATAGTTCGTGAGTTTATACAATTTCAAACTTCAAAATCTGTGTAGATTTCTAACTCCAAGATAATGAAATTTTACTAGCAGGCTTCAACTTATATAAATGTTTAGTTTTAGGACAGTGTTTTGGAGTTTCACTTCCCACGGCTTGACCAGTAAACATACCGTATAACTCTGTCAATCAAAATTTAAGCAGATAAATGTGTAACATATTTTGTCCAGCTTTTGGAATTGCGTTCAAAGTTCCAATTTGGGATAAAGTGTTCCCTATCAAAGATGAGTTCATACACCAAGGCTCAAATCCAATATCTTGATTAAGGATGGAGAAATACTTATCGCTCCATCATGATCTTCGATCGATATACACAAAATCTTGGAGCAGTGCTGACGGTTTAAAAGGTGTACAAACGAACAAATTATTGTGACAAACTCATGTGTTAAAATTCTAGGAATATCCACACGTCAATTTTTAACTTTAGCTTAAATATACAGTTCCATTGGGAGATAGGACAACATTTCCACAGCATAAGATCAGAATATTATTTGTGTCTTTCACAAGATTTTATCTGGAGAAGAATTGGATGTTGAGAGTTCTGTATACATGTCAGCAATTTCTTTAGCAAAGTATGTTCTTGCTTGTGGCCTTTTTATCTGAAAAAAGGACAAGAAATACAGAAAAGGATTTGAGCAATGGAGACTTTATCTAGTTGTATAATAATCGCGAAACAACACTTACCTTGTAAGTTGGAGTAAGCAGATTATTCTCCAAAGTAAAAGGCTCGAGCACCAAAGTGATAGCTTTTGCAAATTCGAAGCCTCGCAACTGCAAATTGTTTGCCATGAAAAACATGTTGAATAGACAAGGAACTACATTTCATTGCAGGGGAATTCAAATTACCTGTGCTTCCTTTCCAACGGTATCCATGTCTTTCAATATTGCAGCCTTTGCTCTTGGATCAGTGCAGAGCTGTTTCACGTCTTTATTCTGCTCCCGCCAAGATAAATATAATCACAAACAAAACTAACAAATATAATCACAAGTGCAAGCATACTTCTTACATTCCAAATGTCGTGTACGATTGTGGAAAGAAAAGAAACTAACTAATGCCAAAATAAAGGTATGATATTATGATTTTACAAGCTGTTAAGAAAGAAAATTTTGTCGTCGATAAAGTATGGAGTTGTTTCTTAAGGAAACATGTAGGTTAGAGGGAAGAGTAGACAAGACAAATAATCAAAGAGGGGTCTTTCCTCTAGTTTGGTAAGGAGGTGAAAAGATAATGGACTTGGTTTGTTCTTTTTCAAGATTTTCTACCATCTACTCTCAGGATGTGTATATTCTAAGGAGAGGAATCAGTAATGAATATTTTCATCCCTTTATTCACAAATTCATCTTACATGGGAGGCATAAAGAACCCGGTCACACCTCCTGTTCTACATAGTTAATTCAGAAGGTAGATGGTCTTTCAGGTTCCCTTGTATTTTCTGGCCAGCTTATGTTATGATGAATATTGTTCTGATCTTTCTCATCTCTTTCCTTGTATAACAACATAAACCAAATAGTGTAAATCTGTGCAGTTTTTTCATAGGAGCAGGTTGAAGATGTAAGAGGAATTCAGGGTGTCACCTTGATGCCTTCATTTATAGCCCATGCTTTAAACATGTCTGGGTCCACGCACAGTATGGCTACCAGAGAGGAATTCAGGCTGTCACCTGACAAAGCAGACAAGAGTATAGTAGGTCTTCTAAAGGTGCCATACATGGGGGGGGGGGGGATTATGGGATTTTCTGCTCTTACCATGTATAAAGCACTGTGCAACATACTTGCTCTTTGCATAAACATTCTCAATTTTTTCAGGAGCTACATATTCTCCCTGTGCCAACTTGAAAATATTTTTCTTCCTGCCAACAAATAGCAAAATGTAAGACTTTCTACAAGCAGCTACTGACCTCCATATACCATGCAACTTCAGTAAAGTGGATTATAGTTAACAAGAAGCAACCTTGTCAATTCTCCATGTTCAAGGAACATAAATTAGATTGCAACAAAGGAAGAAAAACTACTTCACAATACCTCTATGAACCCTAGGGATCGTTCTAATAATTCCAAGGCAGGTACTATAAGATATCCTCTCACCTATCAATTATCTTTAAGCGCCCCCCAGGTAGCCACACTCCAATATCTCCGGTGTGAAGCCATCCATCTTTGTCAATCATTTCTCGCCTGAACAATGTAATTGGATAATTTCAAAATTTAACTTGGACGGTTCCCTGCTTATATGCAAACTACAAAAGGGTGAATCAGTTAAAGAAATGCCCTTACGTCTGTACTTCATCCTTGTAGTATCCCTGGAACACTATGGGGCCTCTTACACAAATCTCACCACGGGGACAAGGCTTATCTTCAGATGTATAGTTCATTTCAGGGACATCAACAAGCTTTACTTCTAAAACATGAAAAAAAAACATAATTAGTCCTTGTCCAGTCATAAGACAAATGGAAAGAAGTACTTGCTTGAAGTTGTACTAACCACATGCAGGATTAGGAGAGCCCACATGACCAGATAAGATATCACTCTGATCCATGTTACTTATAGTACAGGAAGTTTCGGTCATTCCATAACCTTCTATAACTTGACAACCGAAGCATCTGAACAATAAAACTGCTTAGCTCATTTCATACAATAAAAGTATCTGGTCTCAGTTTAAGTTCATAAGTTGATCATAATTGGAGAAATTTGATGAAGTCAAACATGTTCAACTCACACCCGCAAAAAGTCCATTACATCAGGAGATAACGGTGAAGCTCCTGAGACCATATAACGAACTCTTCCTCCTAGCCTTGATTTTATTTTGTTGAATATCAATCTATCCCAGAATGGGGATGGATTCTTTCCTGGAAAAGGAAATATGAATCTTATATATATATATATCACAGCAAAGAGAGATGTGTCTTCCTTCTCTTCTCTTCATAAGTTAATCCTACTAGAAATGCAAGGGATTTCAACCTACAGAGCTGTTTGGAAGGTCAATACTATTAATTAAAAATGCACCAACGGCGCAATCCAACTATAAAGCATCAAAACTAAAAGCACCCTGACATGCAAGCACAAATTGTTATCTTGCGAGCTAGTTAGAGAAAATATAAGCCCGCCATCCCCAACCGCATAAACAAAGACATTAATACGTCCATTAAAGTACTTTCTCATTTTCCCTTTTCTTAAAATAGTCAACGAGTGAGTCTTTATCCCCTTTAAGTAGCTTCCCTGCCCAAACAAAAAGGCACAGGAGTTTGATTGTTTCCCACGTTTCTGTTATTTTTCTTTCCTTTGTTCCCTTGTTTTTTTATTTTATTTTATTGAGTATGATGATATGAAATGAGTTTAAGTGAAAGTGGGATTCATATAAACGTCCCCAACTTGTTTGGGACTAAGGTACAGTTGTTGTTAGTTCCCTTTTCCCATCTTACCGAGAAGAGAGAAATGAATTTACAGTTAAGGAGACGTCAAGAGTCCATATCAAAGAGCTGCTTCCAAGGTAGTTGAACTTTATACATTTACTTACAAAATCAATGAAGTACTAAAGGGCTTCATATAGAATAACATGTCAGCATCAAAACATAACTTGTCAAGAAGCGTTATAATTAAAAAAGAATTACCTCACTGGTGTAATTGAGGGCTGAAGCATTCAGTACAAGCTGCCTAGATCATAGTGTTTCATTTTTGAAAAGTTGTGGCTATGTCATACTACAGGTGGTTTTTAACATGAATCCACCAACTTTTCACTTCTGTAACAGCTGTTAAATTAATATCGAGAGATACTAGACATGGATGGTGGACTTGGTAAAGGGACTGACTGCAGATCAAGCTACAAATTGTAAAGAAATGGTCTTGGGCCTAACTCAATCCCAAATCTAGATTATGAGGGGAGGTTGCCAAGTCCGTATAAGGAGTCCAAATTCACCACATCCCACCCGATGTGGGACTTAACAGCCCGCTCCAAACCCGAGACTGAACATCTAGAGCGTAGACAATTTAATATGGAAGCCCAACGTCAGTAAATCATAAATTGGGGAAGGGTCTGACTCTGCTACGATGTAACGAAATGGATTTTGGGCCTAACTCAACCCCAAAAGCTAGCTTATGATGGAAGGATCGCCCAAGTCCATACAAGGAGTCCAAATTCACCATATCCCACTAATGCGAGACTTGACACAAATAGTTGTTGAAGCCTCATCTTCAGCTGACACAGGGCCAAACCCATGCAAGCACATGTAGCATGCTGTTGAAACTCTTACCAATTTTATATTCCAAACCCATGAGAAATGAAAAATTTACCAGTCCTAATTTAGAACATGCAGTGATCATGTTTCGAGAAATTTCACTAAACCGAAACACATTTTTGTCAGCTTTAATCAGTATTATCTGTAATGCTGCTGCACTATCAAAAGCTACCTGATAAAAGGTTCTTGTCACTTCACATAATGAAAAAATGATTCTTGTCAATTGCGAGACAATTAGCGATTCAACAGGACATTAAACATGTGTTGGAACATAATAGAAACAATGTGTATCTTAACTCCCATATGCACCGATCTCCATACAAATAGACCTCTAAGGAAACAATCTTAAATCCTAAAGAAACATTATATGATGCAACCCAGATAGAAAAAGTCCAAGATGCACAGGTGCAGCCATCTATTACTCGATAGAGGTAAAAATATCTCACCATTAAAAATTGCTTGCTTCTTAGCATTATAAGCAGCATTAAATATCCTCTCTCTCAGAGAACCAGATGTCTTCACAACATTCATAATGCTGCAAAAGGAAGCATCTAAGTTAATTGAGGATCACATAAAACTAAAATTACCACATATAGCAAATCAGCATCAAGAGTCAATTACCTGGCATATAATTTATTGTATAACCGAGGAACGCTGCAAAAGACAGTGGGCCTTAATACAGCCATATCATCCACTAGTTTCAGATTATCCTGAATGCATAGTAAAGTTGAACAAAGTATTTCCTTAGAGAAGTGTGAAGACATTGCTTAGAATATTGTAGACAATTGAGTCTCAAGACTTACTATCTTTTGTCCAAATAATATCTCCTAAATGTCATCAAGCAAAAAATAAAACCTTTACCTTTAGGAGGTGCACATTTTCCCTCCATCAACTTAAGTTTAATTCTTGTCCTTCATAATTTTGTGGAAAATTTTCCCCTTTGAAAGTAGAAACACAAATACAGCCCTTACTTCATTTCTTTTACATTTCCCTTTTTGGTTTTCTACCTTTTCACCACTTTCATACTACCAAGCTACTTCACTAGGCACGGTGAACAAGACAAAGGGAGAAACAAAAAGAGTAAAAATTAGACAACAGGGTGGAAAAGAATAAGGACAAGGAGGGATGTGGATAATCAGGTGAAGAAGAAACAAAAGTAGCAGTAACCAGCAGGAAAGTTAATGGAAAGTTGTTGTTGGCGAAGAAGCAAGAGGAAGATGAAAGGAAGCCTTAAGAGGATATGATCAGGCAAGTAGAAGAGTAAGACATAGAGCTAAAGCAACAGGAAAGGGGAGATTGGGACAAGGAGGAGAAGGATAGGGGAATTCACTTTCTGGTGCAATGGTGGTAGAAGGAAAGAAGAATAAAACAACAGAGACGAAAAGGGAAAAAATAAACTAAAAAACTTCAGAATAAAAGAAAACAATTTAGATACATAGAATTTCTACTTTTTCCCGGGGGTACTTGCAACAGCCTGTCCAAATGGAGAGTCCAAAAACTTTAAAAAGTTTGAGGAGGAAAATGCTATATAGATTAATTAAAGCTGGACTTCATTAAGGTTTAAGGGGCTTTAGTTTCCTTTACTTTTATAGTCCTATTTCTTTGATTTCACAAGTATGCAGTATTCCTGAAGAAGGAATTCAGAAATTAGAAACAAAAAGGAGCAGAAAGAATGACAAAGCGTAAACAAAGTAGCAAATATCATGATCAGTAAAAATGAAATGAATCTAAAACAAGCAATTCACGTTATCTATATAAGTTAAGTCTCTTGTACAGTGATATCATTGACTTCCAACCTACAATTCACATACTGATTCCAGCAATGAACAGCTTTATGCTTTTGCAATACCCCCCCCCCCCAATGGTTGTATTACTTTTATTTCATGTTTTCAAGCCATTGTTTGAAAAAAATTAATCGACGAATCCGAGCTAGAATAATCTTTAGACTTGACAGATACGGTTCATGCAAGGACTGCTAAAAGAAAATCCAGAAAGTACTCTATGGTAAGTCTCATACTCCCTGATAAAATCCAGAAGCTCCTCCAAAATAGACCAGCAATACTTGGGTAGCCCTCTCAAATATATGTGCCAGCGGAAGATATGATATGTAATTATTAAAATTAAGATAAAGGTTTCAGAAAAATCTACAGTTTTCATTAGAAAATTTCAACTGAGTGTAAGAGATGTTTAGCTCCAGAACTTTCAACAAAAAAGTGATTCATGCTGATATTTGGGCTATTATAATCACTAGTACTCACATATCTGAAGAGTATAGATTGATGCCAATACTCGTACCAGCAACATTTGCAATCAGGTTTCCATGGGTCAAAACAGCACCCTATCAGTTAGATAAAAGAAATGCAATTTGCTTCAATTCTGGAAAGCAATAACATTTAGAATTGAGTATATGATATTCTGATGTACCTTTGGGGTCCCAGTTGTACCACTCGTATAGCATATCGTAGCAACAGTCTCAGGTTTTGGTGGGCAAAAGGGCTGAAGATTGCTGAGACCCTGAAAGAAAATCATTAACTATACTATGAAACCTTAACAATCAAGTATTGAAGTACAACTACATTAGTAGGCATTTTCAGTGCTGCTAGTGAAATTACAACTTATAGATATATCTCTTGCAACTCCACCCATGTCATTAACTCAGATATGTGAAAGATCATATGCAGCACAAAACTACCATACGTACCATGTTCACATCTCTGCATCTTCTCATTCCTACTAGGCACAAAATCTAAAACTCTCATACCATAAAAATACGACTTTGAGTATATATAATCACCTGACTAAGTAGTGTTGAATATGATATGATCTCCACTCCAGATGACGGTGGAAGTGATGGAATTCTCCCATCTACTGCTCCAACAACCTACATCATACCCAAGCCAGATGAGGACCGATGAATTGCAGATCGGCAATATCATAGTTATGCACCACTTCAATCACCATAAAGCGACAGTTTTGCATACCGCAATTAAATGCAGCGAAGGAATCTCCGATACGAAGCTAAGCAACTGCAATTTGAAGAGTAATCCCATAAATAAGAACCTCAACAGTGACTTCAAGGAAAGCAGTGTACAGAAGAGAAAGGTCTATCACGTACATCTCTTTCTATTTCCCTGCATTTAAAGTTTGCCAAATTCCAGGATGTTGATTTTAAGTTTTTTTAAAATATATAATCCACCTATGACGGTGGAAAGTTAGGATCTTTTAGTAAATCAATCATCAGGAAGAACAAAAACAAAATATTGCCAGTAGAAAGAAGATCCAAAACATCAGATTCTCAATTCAAATGGGACAATCATAGCAAGTAAAACGTGTTCCAATATTCTATCTGCAAGTGAACAGTTAAACCTCAAAAATGGTCTAAAGCCTATATTGGTAACTGCTTGATTCTTCCACTTCCATGTCACCTCAACAGAACTTGCAGGTAAACTCACATGATTTAATGTTTCTGGCACACAAAATATAGCTTCAATTGCTGCATGGTTTGCAATATATTTTACAGCTTCTGGACCTACAAATTTTATGGCTTAGGAGATTTAGCAACATTGGTAAGATATCAAATGAATTTATTTTTGATAATGTCTGAAGACCAACCAAGAGTATCGTATAAAGGAACTGAAATAAATGAATACGCAGAGCAGGCATGGTCGACTATCAGCCATTCTGGTCGGTTGATAAAATATAAACCAACACGAGATCCCTGTCAAGAAGCGAAGGAATCAAAATGATTAGTATATAAACAGAAAATATTCACTTCTTATAGTTTTTCTGAAAAATGAGAACAAGTAAATTCAGAAAGAGAACAGAAAGCCTTCCAAATTGGTTTAAGAAATTGATAAAGTAAGTTGCCTTTGGTATCTGATGACAAACTAGTGCAGAACCTATTGCTGACCGTGCAGTATCTGCCTCCTTGTATGTCATCCATTTGTACCTGTAGAGTATGTTACATTGGATGAGTATGCCTTGAAGATAAATCATAAGCTCAATTACAGGCTTCCAGTGGCTAACATACTCTCCTACTGTTCCATCTTCTTGAACTCGTGATCCTAAGTAATTGCAGTCTGGAAATGCCTCAACCGATCGCCTAACCAGACAAACAAATCAAAACAAAAAAGATGAAAAAGAATTCAAATTGTGGTGAATTTTCTTGAGAAGAAAAGGAAAATGGGGAGTCAATCAAGCAAGTTTGATTACTCACACAAAATTGTCATGTAAGGTACCAATTTCAGGATGATCTGCAAATCTACTAATAAGTTTCACTGGAGAGCGAGCAGATCTGGATTTAAAAGAACTAGAAATCAGTAATGTGTCGAATACATGAAGAGTTTGAACTAACTGTTCTGACCTGTACACATTCCATTTTCCTGTCTTCAATTCTTCAGGGAGCGCATAACTAAATCCTTGCTCTGGTGAAAGTTCAATAATTAGCAAAGAACCAATGGAGGGGAGATAGATAGATAGATAAAGAAACAGAAAATAGGGTAGTCTGATCTCCAAGTAATAAGCTGAAACAACAAGCTAGGTAAAATGGAGGTCAGACCAACATGTAGAGGAAGTGTAATACGAAATCAGTAAATCCAACAAATAGCTGGACATTCAACTTACATTACCAGGCTGCATACAGAAGTTCTCCAAATTTATACCTGGTATGGATCTAGTCTGATATAAAGTAAGATGTAAACTACTTTTGAAGGACCATTTGCTATCTATTTAGTTTTGTTCGGCTTGGGGACGGGGAAGATCTCTAGCTTTCCCTAGGGAGTTGGAGAAGCAAGACTAGGTACCAAGAGATCTGGGATACCAGTTGGAATTATCCAGATATAGCAGTATCTCCTTTTTCAACACTGCCTAGTTGACAAAAAGAGGAGATGCCTCATGTCCTAAATGACAAACCAAACAACAATTATTAGGAGAAAGGATTTACTCTTCATAGTTGGTACTACAAAGAATACAGATAGTTTTTGGTGAATCTTTGATTTGTTTTTGGGTCTCTATTCAGGTACCTAACATGCAAATGATCATTTTCTTCAAGACTCATAGTTCTACTCATTATCTCCTCTATTCACCGACACTTCGATTCAGCCCTGATAATGATCAAGTACATTGGTTGGAAATGTGAATCTCCTGATCATCAATATTCACCCCCGCCCCCAAATCTACACAGCTGTAGACCAAATCAAACCTACATATGTTAAATTCGGACTTTATGTTGCTCGATTATAGCCTAAAAGGATAGTGATGTGGCACATTGTAAATAGCTTAAATTCTGATTATGTTTGTGGATGATTTGATCTCAGATTTAAACGCAGGTACAACTCATGTTAAACATGGAGTTGAGGAGTATGTATATGTCAATCTCAACTAAAGATTGCATTTTTTTTTGTTTTATCCAAATCTTTTAATGATTAATTTCATCTTACAGCATATACGGAGATTTAGCTTGTTTTTTTATTTCCCCATATATAGTTCCCCAGTTAGTTACACAAAGTTGAAATGCTACTTAAGAAATTGAATTTTCAAAGAAAGTATATACAGCTGCATTCTCATTTAGAAAAGTGGGTGCGCAAGAATACCGAAGAAGAAGTCGCCGGCGGCATTTTTACGGCGGAGAAGTGACGGCTGCTCTTGATCGACGGCGGCGGTGGAAGTGAGGTGGTTGCGAATAGTTCGAAAACGACGTTCAGCTTGGGAATCCATCCGTTTGAAACGACGTCACTGTGATTGTATGTAGTGTTTTGCCACCTAAATTCAACTACAAATGCATGTGCAACTTCAATACACTACACAAGTTTAAATATAACACTAGTTCCTTATTTTAATTGTAATATAAAGTTTATTATTGTAATCCTTTTACAATTTATTTGATCAAAGTTCATGTGTCAAAATAAGTATCACATCTACTAGTGGTGTATTTCGATCAATCATATTGTTATGTCACTTAAATCTGATCGATCGAAAGAAACTTGTTTTTATACTATTTCTTTTGCTATGTCATCACTTAAATTGAAGCATGTTCTCATCATAAATTCTTTGTTCTATAACTATAAATAGAAGTCCACATAATTTAGAAATCACACTAAAATTCTGTCAAGAAGCCAAAGAAAGCTTGTGGATCAAACGTCACACATTTCTCTACAAGAGCAGTGAATTTATTTTTAAAAAGACGAATCAGAAGAAACAAATTTTATTGTTTACGATTTATGGCACCCCCAATGAGACCAAATATGTCCATCTCCTCTCTTAGTACAAATCAAATCTTTGAATCTAAAGCCATAAAATTGCAAAGGTGAAAGGTACCTTGAGTTTCGTCTTTGAGTATCATTAAGTCTGCATTTCGAGAAGTTTTGAAGTCGAAGACATTTATAGACACTGCAAATTTGTGGAACTCTACAAGACGGTGTCCAACTCTAGTTGAGACTCTACAAGATGTATTCGATTTTAGTTAAGATTCCAGGAGGCTACTCTCAGGGGCGGAGCCACCTTGTTTTGGACACCCTTCGTCGAAAAATTATACGATATATACACGTAATGTTTTCACTTATATTGATATATAGTGTATTATGGACACCCTAAACTAATAAATTAAAGTAACCCGTAGTGTAGATGGCTAGAGCAGTCACAAACAAACTCTCGCCCCAGTTTGATTCCCTGCCTGAGCATTTTCATTTTTCTGTAATCATTTTGCCTTTTTGAAGTTTGTAAAACATGCCTAAGTTTAACATAATTGAGCTTAGCGATATATAGTGTTGTGCTTGTCTTGAGGGCCCAAGTTCGAAACTCACCTTCAATGAGAATTTTTTTCAACTAAATTAGAGAACTTTCAAGAGAGAAGAATCAAGAGAGGAACAAAATTGTACCTATAATATTGTTTATCAATAATATTCTTGTTTCTTCAAATTTTCATTATGGTTAATTTATTTTCCATATGTTCAATATTTGTTGCAACCAATTGTGTTGTTAAATCTATCTTAGGTTGCTATGAAATGGTTTCATACTATAAAATTTTATTTTATAGTATCTCTACCTTGTACTAAGGAAACATTAATTATGAAGGGTTTTAATTATTTTATCCTTAGTTGGTATTTGAAAAATTATAACATCATATCATAATTAAAGTACTTATAGTTTTCGAAAACAATTATTACCAAGAATATAATAGGGACATTAATTCTTTTTTCTTATATATGGTTAAGTAAATAACATAAAAATAAGATGTACAACATGTTATATAACATAACAAGTTCAAATATGGAGTAGCACTACTTAGTTTGTGTAAGAAAAAGTTAACATTTTCAGTTTCTGTTAATTAAGAGTCATGGGTATAATTGGATTAACATTACCTTCTTATCTCCCCCCCCCCCCCACCACCACCACCACCCCACCCCCACACACACAAAATAAATAAATAAATAAATTATGTTTTATTTTTCAGATTCCGTTACATAAATAAAAATATGTTGTAATATCAATATACATTATTATCCGGATTCTGTAACATAAATAAATAAATCTTATATTGTCTATTCACATTATTATTAAGATTTTTCAACATAAAAAAAATCTTTCTTTAATTTGTATATCTAATCTAATAAACATTGGAGTTGGAATGTAGTCATTTTTCGAAATTAAAAGAATCTATTATATTTTCATGTAATTAAGTGGACCACACAAATTTCCCTTTAGAGACAGCTATATAAACCACTCTGCTTCTTTTGTTTTACTCACTTATTCTTCTATATACACAAAAATATTTTTTTTAAATTATTTCCTTTCAGACGAAAAAGAAAGGAAACGATTTTCTTGAGATGAGGTACATTATAGTGTGTGAGAAAGACGTTATGAGAAAGCACACAACTGAGGATCTCAACCAGAGGAGAAACTCCTGGCTTGGGACTTTCAATATGCCGGATAAAGTTGTTAAGGATTACGATGTGACGGAGAGATTGTCTGATCGTCACGAAGATAACTTACAAAACATCAACAACTTTCTCAAAAAGGATTGGATAATAATAATTATTCAATCCTATCCTTCAAAACCTGAGATAATCTTTGGTTTTTTAGAGTGTCATACTTACAAAAATTAGTGACACCTTCTAGCGTAGAAATAACTTCTTTGACGAATCATAAGCCCTTACAGCTTTCTATTGTGTTTAGAATGTACCAATCTAAAGGGGGATCCTCCCATTGAATCTTAGATCTCTGTCATGCACTTTTCCCATGGTGTCTTCCTCACACCTCTATAACATACCTAATCTAAGATGAACATACCTCATCTAAGATGAGGTACATTATAGGTTTTATGAGATACATTATAGATATGTGAGGAAGGCATTATGGGGAAAGTCCGCAATAGAGTTCATAGACTCCTGAGGAAAAATCTCTGGCTTAGGACTTTTAATATGCCGAATAAAGTTGTAAACGATTATGATGTGGCGGAGTGGTTGTCTGACCTTCACGAAGATAACCTCCAAAACATCAACAACTTTCTCAAAAAGGATTGGATAATAATAATTATTCAATCTTTGGTGTTTTAGAGGGTTATCCTTACGAAAATTAGTGACATCTTTTAGCCTAGAAACAACTTCGTCGCCGCATCATAAGCCCTTGCAGCTTTCTACGGTGTTTAGAATGTACCAAGCTAATGAAGGATCCTCTCATTGTATCTCTGATCTCTGTCGTGCACTTTTCCCATAGCGTCTTCCTCACACCTCTATAACATACCTCATCTAAGATGAGGTACATTATAGGGTTTATAAGGTACGGGATGTGAGAAAGATATTATGGGGAAAGTACGCAATAGAGATTAGAGATTTTAGAGGAGAAACCCCTGACTTGGGACTTTTAATATGCCGGATAAAGTTGTTAAGGATTACGATGTGACGGAGAGGTTATCTGACCGTCACGAAGATAACCTCTAAAACAACAACTTTCTCAAAAAGGGTTGGATAATAATAATTATTCCAATCATATCCTTCCAAACACCTAAGATACTTTTTGGTGTTTTAGAGGGTTATCCGTACGAAATTTAATGACACATTCTAGCCTAGATGAGGCATGTTATAGACGTCATGTTTTAGAGGGTTATCCGTACGAAATTTAATGACGTCTTCCTCACACCTCTATAACATGCCTCATCTAAGTTCAGGTACATTATAAGGATGATGAGGTACATTATAGGGATGTGAGGAAGTAGGGGTGCATATGACCGGGTTAGTTCGGGTTTTTCAAATTTCAAATCAAACCATTCATGTAAAATTTTTAAATTTATAAACCAAAGCGAACCAATAAAGTTCTGATTTTTTTGGATTTTTCAACCTCGGGTTGGTTCGGGTTTTTCAAATACCAAATCAACCATTATGTCGAATTTTTTAATGTATAAATCAAACCAAACTAATAAACTTCGGATTTTATCAGGTTTTTGAATTTTTCGGTAAAGTTTGCATACAAACATATTATGAACTTGTGCTTCAAATATTTATTTAGTCCAACCAAAATACAATTATCTGAGGTGTTTTTTAAGAAAATAACACAAAATATGAGATGAGTATTGATGACACAAAAATATTCACTAAAAATAATAATGAAATCATCATATAAAATAAATATTGTAAAGTTATAATGAAAATAATCATAATTTAAAAGTACTAAATCATGCTAAAATAAGTTTAATAAGTATTAGTTACATTTTTAAATAATTAAAGAAAATTAAATTAGATTATGTATTTTAATTGTCTAAACCAATGTAAAACTAAAGTACAAATATTCAATATTATTATCATTCTTAGGTCTCATTTGTTTCCATTAAGATTAAGAGGTCTGAATCTGTATACACATCTGAATATTAAAATTTGCATTAAAATTAGGTGATTTGATCTGAATACACATCTGAATATTAAGATGTGGTCTCTAAATTTGAACACTAAATAATTAATGTAGTTTGTTTTTAATATCTGAATGTGCATGTGAAATTAACATCAAATTAATAAAATTTCATAAAAAATTCATTTCAACAAAATATATCACTTTTGATTTAAAAAAAAGTTTTAAAAGTTTTAATAATCATGATTTGAAAGTACAATTTTTTCATTCAAAAACCTTGATAAACGCCAATACACCAACAGTGTTCTTGATACCGTCAACACAAGAAAATTATTAATATAAAAAAAACTTGAAATGATTTATGAAAACTTACCAGTTCAAGAGGGGGGAAATGGTGTTTGATTGAGTAAAGAGATAAGGAAAGGTTTCGGTAATGAGATAAAAAGACACGCTTAAAACAGAGGAGAGATTGTTTCTTATTTGATAACTTATTAAATGAGTTTGAATGTTGTTAAGAGTTTCTTACATATTTAATTCATTCAGACTCATT